GTGATTTCGACAACATCGCCGAGATCACTTGTACAACACAAGCGACGGCTTCCCCGCTGTACATTTAGTTCTGCTTGCCCAAAGCAGTGCTAAATATAGAAAACAACTACCCGCTTGACGCCTGGAACTCTATGTCCTGGACGTCGGCAGATAGGAATTCCACTCCCCTGCTGCCCCCCTACTCCCTGCTGCCCGGAGGCCGGGCCTTGGTTGGCCTTGTGGGAAATCCGGCCCTGCACGTAGCCCAAACTTTTGTGGACGCCTGTCATTACACCTAAATGAGCTTGTTGGTCATCCTATTCCACAACTATGGCCAACAATAGGGAGTAGGCCCCCCCTTTGTGACTATATTAGCCTCCACACACCTGGGAAGGCTTTTTAAAAGATGTTGTCGTGTGTCTGTGGGAAATTGAGGCCACTCAGTGAAAAGAACATTTGTGAGGTCAGGCACTGATGGTGGATGAGAAGACCTGACTCTCAATCTCTCTTCCAATATATCCCAAATAAGTTCAGTAGGGTTGAATTCTAGGCTCTGTACAGGACACTAGAGTTCCTCCACATCATAACTGGTCAAACCATGTCTTTATGGAGCTGGCCTTGTATTTACATAGTTACATAGTCAGGTTGAAAAAAGACACAGAAGACAGTCATGGTGGAACAGAAAAGGGCCTTCACCAAACTTTTACCACAAGGTTGGAAGAGCGCAGTTGTCTAAAATGTCTTTGTACGGTGTAGCGTTAACAGAACCCTTCACTGGAGACACCAGAACTCAATCATCTGCAGGAATGTCCATGTACCTCTTACCATATATTGTTCGTTCATTTCATTCAAATGCTATTGCTACCTGTTTACAACAGACAGCCTCTGGGCCCCATAGCAGTTGCAAGGTCCGCTATGGGCATAGTTACATCCTTGATGCAGACCATCAATGCTCCATATATGTATAAAAAATACATATTCATGAGACATCCAGGTTCCTCATCAGCCAAAATGGGACATCCAAAAAGTCAAGTTTCACACATTTTAATAGATGTAAAATGGCTTTTCCGCCCATATCAGACACATTTGTGCTATTTCCGGAGACATTCGACACCAATATTTAGCTGTTGCTTCTTCACGATCTCTACCTCTCCTTTATACCAGTGTATGAAAATAAGCAATCCAACCCAAGAGCCATTCGTAAAACCAAAAGGTTTTTTTTACCTTCTTGAAGAATAGAAAATGTGCCCATTGAGCAGGAGGCCTATAGTTGAAGGTCCACGTGAGGGCAACGAGCAAATGGTCTGGTAATCAGTCTTTTAATACTAGTATTAACTCCTAACGGTAATACTAAACAGGCAATGGGTTTCTGGAGTTCAAGGATTCAAGCCAGGTTTGGATTCTGGCGTTCAAGCCCTCGTTCTTCGGGGCTCTTCAACTCCTCTTCTTCACACCTCCTATTCTTCAGGGGTCATCAAGCCCTCTTCTTCACCCCTCTTCTTCAGGGGTCATCAAGCCCTCTTCTTCACCCCTCTTCTTCAGGGGTCATCAAGCCCTCTTCTTCACACCTCTTCTTCAGTGCTCATCAAGCCCTCTTCTTCCCCCCTCCTTCTTCAGGCCTATAAAACAGATATAAAGATTGTTGTAAACATATGAAGAGATGGTTATAAACCTAGGAATTTATCTGTTGGTTCAATTCATATTCCGTATTCTCAACAAGTGCATAAATATATAGCACAGTGGCGTAGCGGTTAGCGCGCCTGCCTTGCAGCACTGAGGGTCCCTGGTTTGAATCCCGGCCGGGACTCTATCTGCAAGGAGTTTGCATGTTCTCGCTGTGCTTGCGTGGGTTTCCTTCCAGTTTCCTCCCACACTCCAAAGACATGCTGGAAGGTTAATTGGCTCATCTCTAAGTTGGCCCTCTATGTATGCATGTGAGATAGGGACCTTAGACTGTAAGCTCCTTGAGGGTAGGGACTGATGTGAATGTGCAACTATGTACAGCGCTGCGTAAATTGTCTGCGCTATATAGATACCTGTAATAAATAAAATATTATAACAATTCATTGTGAACAGAAAATACCTTTTTAAAATGTTCAAATATAACTGATAATAGGCACCTCATGCAATCTATAGGTCCCTATTATTGATTCTATTGGAACATTTTTTGTGTTTTTATGTTGAAAATGAGTCTATTATGATATTTATATCTATATATTTATATAGGAGTCAATGAACCTCAATAAGAATTGAACCAATATAGGAATTCATTTGTTTACAACCATCTTTATATCTTAGAGGGAGATCTTTGAGCTCCCAAAACGCGTTGATTGTTTCATGTTATGAGTTGTGAGTTGATTTAGGCCTGGTTCACACCTGGGCGTTTTGTAGCGCGTTCCTACGCTCTGCAAAACGCTCAAACACCGAAATCCCATTATTACCCATGGGTATGGTTCACACCTGGGCGTATTACAGGCCGTATGAACGCGCTACAAAACGCCCTACGCCCCAAAGAAGTACAGGAGCTTCTTTGAGGCGTATTTGCTGCGCGTATCCATTGGGATACAGCCAGGTAGCCCTCGGAAACGCACGTTTGTCACACGTTTTTTTACTGCAAATCGTGGCACGAAACGCACGGCAAACACGCATATTCGATACGCCTAGGTGTGAACCCAGCCTTAAAGACTCTTGAACTGCAGGATCCTTTGTTTGGTGACCTCATTGGACTTTGTATAAGTAGGTATTCAGTGATGTCCATGTTCCACTGCGGAGATGCACCCTCTTTTTTTTTTTCTGGTGGCCATTGTCCTCAAGACAGAAACTAATGGGAGGTCCAACATTTTACAGTTGTCAGCAGAATAGGAAGCGGGAAGTCTTCTAATGGGGACACTTGTTCCAATGATAAGATTGGGATTTTTCTTGCTTGGCAGAGATTTTCCTCACTTCCCATTGTCTCCAGGACAGAAAGTGAAGGATAATTCTCCTCTACCCCCTAACAGGACGTACAGCAACAAAAAAACAAACCAATACAAATGTTCTTGATCTGAAACTAGATAAAAGTGTTGGCTTAAGATACTTTAATGAGTTTCAGCCACAACACTGAAGGGATTAAAGTAATAAAACATTGTGCCGGTGCGTTGCTAATTATATCTGTGAATTCACCTTCTCTATTCATCTCTGTGGTGTGGTGATGGGGAAACCCAAAATGTTAGTTGTTACCAGAACCGGAGGTGGAAAACTTTCAATGGGGACACACCAGTTCTAAGAGGGGATTTTCCTTCCCTTTGAAGAGATTGCCTCTCGCTTCCTGCTGTGTCTCCGGGACAGGGAAAGGAAATCTCTCCAATGGGACGCAGGAAACTCCAACAGAACTTCTAATCTTTATGTACTTCATCCAAAGCTAAAAAAAAACGTTGGATATATTTTAGGACAAGATTTATGTAGCTAACAAAAGCTAAAATCCATTATTATTGCCTTCACCTCCTTCCCAACACCAATCACATGTGCCAGTCATCTCCCCGTCATTCACATGTGAGGTCGGTCCCATTGGCAGCAATGTAAAGTCTGTCAACTCATCCTGAGCAGGTGAATTACTTTTGTGAGTCAGATGGGACAATGAGACATGGCAGGGCGTGTGACAGTCAATGATGTGAGCGTGTGATACCTTTGTGTAACTAGATGGCCCTATGGAATAGATGATGGACTCGGCAGCTCTGGTACCCTCTTCCAGCAGTAACTCATCAGTAAGCCCATCTCCGCCCTCCTTGCAGTGTAGCTCAGCTCCCATTTGCTTCAGGGACTCGGCAGCTCTCCCCTCTCCCCCAGCAGGGACACAGCGGCTCTGTTCCCCTCTCCCAGCAGTGACCCAGTAGCCCTGCTTCCACTTGCAGCAGGGACTCAGCAGCTCTGCCCCATCTCTCATCAGAGACTCAGCAGCTCTGCTCCCCTCTCCCTGCAGTAACTCAGCTCAGCGCCCCTCTCCCAGCAGTGACACAGTAGCTCCCAGCAGTCTACCTCTGCTCCTCCTTGCAGAAGGGATCCAGCAGCTCTGCTCCATCTCCCACCAGGGACTCAGCAGCTCTGCTCCCCTCTCCCAGTAGTGACACAGTAGCTCCCAGCAGTCTACCTCTGCGCCTCCTTGCAGAAGGGATCCAGCAGCTCTGCTCCATCTCCCACCAGGGACTCAGCAGCTCTGCTCCCCTCTCCCAGTAGTGACACAGTAGCTCCCAGCAGTCTACCTCTGCGCCTCCTTGCAGAAGGGATCCAGCAGCTCTGCTCCATCTCCCACCAGGGACTCAGCAGCTCTGCTCCCCTCTCCCAGTAGTGACACAGTAGCTTCCAGCAGTCTACCTCTGCTCCTCCTTGCAGAAGGGACTCAGCAGCTCTGCTCCCCTCTCCGAGCAGTAACTCGGCTCAGTGCCCCTCTCCCAGCAGTGACCCAATAGCTCTGCAACCCCTTGCAGCAGTGACTTGACAGCTCTGGTGACCTCTCCCAGCAGTAACTCAGCTCAACGTCCCTCTCCCAGCAGTGACACAGTAGCTCAGCTCCTCCTTGTAGCATGGACTCAGCAGCTCTGCTCCACCAGCAGTGGCCTAAATCAAGTGGCAGTCTGGTGTCAGCCCACGACTACCCTGAATGTGCATTCAGAGGGAACACAGCCATCGGGCACGTTTGATAACATTGCCCCATCAGTCTGCTGTAGCCTCTTACCCTCTAACTTGCTATAATGTTGCAGACTGATCACTGGGGGAGGGGAGACTGAGGAAATGCTTCCTCCTGCCTGCAGCAGACTGATGACATCTCAGCCTAGGCATAGTCACTGGACTGCAGGTCAAGAATGGCTTTTTAATGGTAGGAGGTGGAGCATTTCTGAACAATCCTGTTGCTGTATATTGTGAGATGTCTGCAATGTATTCTTGTAGACTTGTAAAGAAACTTAAACGTCCATTTTTACGCCATGAACACTCGGCACCCTAAAAAAACCAAAAAATAACCCCTTGTTTTGTTTTTTTCCTTTCAGGAGAGATGCCCCGGCACTTCCCTCGCCTTAACATTTCGGAGGTGGATGAGCAGGTCCGGCTCCTGGCGGAGAAAGTCTTTGCCAAAGTTCTTCGGGAGGAGGACAGCAAGGATGGCTTCTCCCTGTTCACCGTTCCGGAGGATTGCCCGATCGGACAGAAGGAGGCCAAAGAGAGGGAACTGGAGAAAGAGATTGCAGAGCAAAGGTCTGCCGAGTCCGTGAAAAGGTGGGAGCCTATATGATGTTCATTATAAGGGTGCATTGGGTCTCAGCAGCCACCCCTCCCTAAATATATTCGTTAGTCTCTGGGTGGACAATGGAGGTTAAGGATCAAGCCAAAACTTCAAGTTGTGGGTAGATTGGAGAAGGGTTTGGATTGTGAGGTTGGCACAGGAAGTGAGGGCTGATCTCCCCACCTAAGACTACCCTGTCCACAGAGTGACAACACTACTGTGCAATTTAACTGCAAAAAAAATAGTTGTCACCTTGTTCCAGGAAGTGGCACATTAACTCTACTGGCAGGATCAAACGGTAATCAAACTGTTACATGAGGGACACAAAAAAACAAACTGCTGACAGATTTTATCATACAGTATCTGTAATTTTTCTACCCATAGGATAACCATTGGGCCTATGTAACCTAAATATTCAAGTCAATTATTATACCTGTGCAGGCGTACTAAAGAAAGGTCATCATTTGTTCATTTGTCCTATTTACTTGCTCTGAGTAACTCAAATAAGCTGGCAGGTGACACCAGAAAGCTGCAAAACTGAAACAGGAAATAGCCGTGTCAGCCTCTGGCCAGGGGTGTATCTACCCCAAGGCAAACTAGGCATTCGCCTAGGGCGGCTCTTTCCAGGGGGGGCGGCAGTTTCTGCAAAGAGCCGGACTTAACTTTGGGCATACTTGGCACTTGCCCGGTGGGCCGAGGTTGGGCGGCGGCTGCCTAAATAGGCAAACCAGGCGGCCGCAAGGACCTAAGAGCGGCTGCCTAATTGGAGAGCTGTCCAGTGGAGGGGAGGGCCCAGTGAGATGTGGTCCAGCTGGCTTTGTACAGGAGGTGGAGGAGAAGCAGCAGGTGGCTCGGGGCTGGCCATAGCATGTGATCTGATGGCGGGATGTCCCAGAAGCAGGCTGGGGACTACAATGTATCCTGTTGGTACTGATGGCACTTTGAGCTGCAGGTAAGAGGAACCGCACATGTATGCAGGGAAAGGCACAGCCCACCATAAACCCTGCACAGCACACCTGAGACCCCGCACAGCCCATCAGAGACCATGCACAGCTCTCCTGAGACCCTGTGTGAGCTGTATCCAGTAACTGACAGGTTGTGCAAAATGTCCTAAACAGGAAGGGGCGGGGCAAATTTAGATAGATGGGGGGGTGCCCGAGTTTAGTCTTGCCTAGGGCAGCACAAAACCAAAATACACCACTGCCTCTGGCTGTGCAGGGATGTGTGAATCACAAGACCGGGTTAACAGAAGTACACATATTTTGGGCAAATAAAAGCGGTCTGTTTGCGCTTTCACGCGAATATAAAACTTCAACGCGTTCGATTTAATATAAAACTTCAAATTTGCCCCAGCACAGCTTGTATGGATGGCATTAGCAGATCACAAGTGATGATGTTCTTCCTGTTTTTATGTTAGCCATTAGGGATGAGCCGAGTGTTCGAATCGAACATCGGCAGTTCGAGCGCTCGCCGAACGTCGAACTTTATGGGATGTTCGCGGTTTGTGTCGGCCGCGGACATTCCATAATGCAAAATGCCCACTGAAGCTCTGACTTTGCCCAATCAGGGCTCGGCAGAGGAGGGGCCTGAAGGTGAAAGTTCTCTTATCAGGTCCCCCATGCTGATTGACAGCAGGCAGTGGGCGGGTGCAATAGCCAGCTTGCTATTGGCTATTGCATTTTACAATATCCAATAGCAGGCTGGCTATGGCTTCCAGCCTGCAATGAAGAGGAGGCAGGGGGGCGGGGCAGAGGAGGCGCGGCCGGACCGGATCGGAGAAGAAGCCGATGGACCAGGGGACCGGTGGCCCGGGACAGCAGCGGAGGTACGGGGGGCAGCGAAGGCATGCAGCGGTCTGTGTCCCCGCTGCCTCCGCCAACACAGACGCAGAGAGCAGCGAGGATTTGAAGGGACACAGGCCGCTGCAGCCACAGTTCTCCTAAATGTACCGTACAGCTGCCATTACATTTAGGAGAACTGTGGACCCGGTTCGTAAGTATGGATTGTCCGTAACCCAAGGACTGCCTGTATAAGCCCTCTTAAAGGGGACATTTATTATGGAACGTTCAACCCCCCCCCATTCACTTGCATTGAGTTCAAGTTCGTATTCAAACTTTTCGGCCGTTCGAATACGAACCGAAGACGGGGGTGTGTTCGGCTCATCACTATTAGCCATTTCCTGTGGGATACATTGTAAGATGCCATGAATACAATCATTAAAAATATTGTGACCCAGCAAGACCTCAACACATTGTGCAGAATAACGCGCACGTCAAATCTGCACCCTTGGGTTATTAGGATATAAAGAACTACACCCTTGGGTTATTAGGGTATTAGGAACGTCAGCATTTCTAGTTGTCACATAGTAAACATGTTTTGCTCAATTTGTTGTTTGTGAAGCGAAACTACAAAATTGGTGATGAGTTGAGGCGTCGCTTTAAATTCCGTTGCCGGCTTTTAAGAGTAAACAGGCTGTAATTCTGATGACAGTTGTTTGTAGATGCGAGCTCCGCTGGCAGAGCCTGAAATAAGAGGTGTTGACATGATGAGCCTATTCTGGAAGCTGATGACAGTGTGTTTTAGAAATGACCCCCTGAAGGAGCGGCTGGATTTTGGACGAGCCCTCCTCGCCTTTGAAGGACACTCGACAGTGGCAGGCAGAAGCAATCAAGGTCCTTGGGCTAAGGGCAAACCCAACGTATACAGATTACGTCAACAGAGCTCAGGCTGGCTACAGTAAAGGTTTCATATACACTATGTTGCCAAAAGTTTTGGGATGCCGGCCATTACACGCACATGAACTTTAATGGCATCCCAGTCTTAGTCCGTAGGGTTCAGTATAGGGTTGGCTCCGCCCTTTGCCGCTATAACATCTTCAACTCTTCTGGGAAGGCGTCCACAAGGTTTAGGAGTGTGTCTATGGGAATGTTGGACCATTTGTGAGGTCAGGTACTGATGTTGGGGGAGAAGGCCGGGCTCGCAGTCTCCGCTCTAATTCATCCCAAAGGTGTTCTATGGGGTTGAGGTCAGGACTCTGTGCGGCCAGTCACGTTCCTCCCCCCCAAACTCCCCCATCCATGTCTTTATGGACCTTGCTTTGTGCACTGGTGCGCAGTCATGTTGGAACAGGAAGGGGCCGTCCCCAAACTCCTCCCACAAAGTTGGGAGCATGAAATTGTCCAAAATGTCTTGGTATGCTGATGCCTTAAGAGTTCCCTTCACTGGAACTAAGGGGCCAAGCCCAACCCCTGAAAAACAACCCCACACCATAATCCCCCCTCCACCAAACTTTACACTTGGCACAATGCAGTCAGGCAAGTACCGTTCTCCTGGCAACCGCCAAACCCAGACACGTCCATCGGATTGCCAGACAGAGAAGCGTGATTGGTCACTCCAGAGAACACGTCTACACTTCTCTAGAGTCCAGTGGCGGCGCGCTTTACACCACGGCATCCCACGCTTTGCATTGCACTTGGTGATGTGCGGCTTGGATGCAGCTGCTCGGCCATGGAAACCCATTCCATGAAGCTCTCTACGCATTGTTGTTGTGCCAATCTGAAGGCCGCATGAAGTTTGGAGGTCTGTAGCTATTGACTCTGCAGACAGTTGGCGACTTCTGCGCACTGTGCGCTTCACCATGCGCTGACCCCGCTCTGTCATTTTACGTGGCCGACCACTTCCTGGCTGAGTTGCTGTTGTTCCCAGTTGCTTCCACTTTGTTATAATACCGCTAACAGGTGACCACGGAATATTTAGTAGCAAGGGGATTTCACAGAACACCCGAATCCAATGATTTGGAGGGGGAGGGGCCCAATACCTTTCGGCAGTATAGTGTACATTCTGGACTGGGCGAATGCTGTTCGTGCAGCACTCCTGCCACTAGATGGAGCTGAGGAGCACATACATTTCCTATGCTCCTTGGCTCCATCTAGTGGTGAGAATGCTGGAACTTTTCTACATCAGCCCCTGACTGTAAACGCAGCTTATGACAGGGATGTGATACGCAGCCATATACAGAGATGTCTGCTGACTACAGGCAATCCTATAACAGAGAACAGACTTGTCTAGCGTGTCGTCATTGACCGGAAACCTTCATCATATCGTATGTGATACATAACCGTCTTCATCAATGCGTTCCCACTCAATGTCCTGGAGACAAACATAGCCGTGAAATCTCCTCTAATGAGATTATAGGAGGACAGACCCATCCCGGCCCGGATCCGTCAGGGACGTGCTGGAGATAAAATCATGTTCGGTCTCTCTATACGCTGTGTCATCTGTCCTGGAGGAGGAAGGAACTGTGCTGGGCACGGTACTGTCTTCTATCATTAGCAAAGCTGGGTGTCGGCCGCGTCCTCGATACACCTTGTCATTGGCTTAACCCTATCCTAACTCTTTATTCAATGTCTCTTCAATGTTGAAGAATGCTTTGATACAATGTAGAAATCCCTTTTTTTTTTTTGTATTGCCATTTCCAATTGATAAGCATTTACATTTATGGGGACGGGAGGTGTTCTGTAGGAGTGACAATGCTGCCCCATCCGTTGATGCAGTACTGTGAGTGTTGTCACCCTGGGAAATGGCAGGATCACCAGATGACAAAGTCTAAAAAAAAAAAAAAAGAAGAAAACTAATGCGGCCACCACATCTAAGATCTGAAAAGCTGCAATATATCCCAGTTTTGTTCTTGGCTTTACGTACACTTTAAAGCAGGACTGCAGGCAGAAAAACTCTCCTTTTTAAACATTTTCCTCAATTGCCACAATGGATGTAACTTTACGTGCACCAGATGCCTTTGCAAACCCAGATATTGCCTTGTAATAGTAGCAGTGAGTGACCTCACCGTGCCATACATTGGAGGGCCATATGTCGGAGGGCCTCATCAAGTCCACCAACTACAGGAAGGGGCGGAGACAAGACCAGTCACCCTGCACAAGGAGAGAGAGCGCAGTAGTGACCGGTCTTTATTACAGGAGGGGGCGGAGACAAGACAAGTCACCCTGCACAAGGAGAGAGAGCGCAGTAGTGACCGGTCTTTATTACAGGAGGGGGCGGAGACAAGACCAGTCACCCTGCACAAGAAGAGAGAGCAGCAGTGAGCGGTCTTTATTACAGGAGGGGGTGGAGACAAGACCAGTCACCCTGCACAAGGAGAGAGAGCAGCAGTGACCGGTCTTTATTACAGGAGGGGGCGGAGACAAGACCAGTCACTCTGCACAAGGAGAGAGAGCAGCAGTGACTGGTCTTTATTACAGGAAGCTCCTCACAGGGGATTACAGCACAGATCTGGAAGAAATACACAAAGCTCGCCGAGATTCAGGAAGAACACACGTGACTCTATTATGAGGACAATATTTGCCCATCCTGGAGTTCAGCATAAACAACTCCCAGAAATGTGGCTTCTTCCAAAACCGGCATAACCTGTATAAACTTGTTTTCATTTCATCAATTTTATTTGTTCATTTACAAAAGAAACGCGTTGCACAGTTTTCGAGCAAACTCCTTCCTCTGTCGGGCTTAACAAACATTGTCTACATACAAGAGGCCTGTGTATTCTTCCTGGGGAGCGTTGTGTATTTCTTTCAGATCTGTGCAGTGATCCAATGTGAGACCTCCTGTAATAAAGACCGGTCACTGCTGCTCTCTCCTTGTGCAGGGTGACTGGTCTTGTCTCCGCCCCCTCCTGTAATAAAGACCGCTCACTGCTGCTCTCTCTCCTTGTGCAGGGTGACTGGTCTTGTCTCCGCCCCCTCCTGTAATAAAGACCGCTCACTGCTGCTCTCTCTCCTTGTGCAGGGTGACTGGTCTTGTCTCCGCCCCCTCCTGTAATAAAGACCGCTCACTGCTGCTCTCTCTCCTTGTGCAGGGTGACTGGTCTTGTCTCCGCCCCCTCCTAAGTTTCCTGCAATGGGTGGGGTCTGTTAGGCCCCTCCCACACCTCTGCTCTCTGCACAGTCTACTGTAATGAATTTTGGAGGCCGGAGTTGAGCTTTGCATGGCACATGTGCGTTTTCCGAGGTAACCTCTGTGCTGTGTGCGTTGGATATTGGCGGATAACATCGCATCGCATGTCATTCAGATGGAAAGTTTGTTGTCAGGCAGCAGGAAGTCCTGATAGCATGCAAAGCAGCGATGTCTTTTATCTCCAGTGGAGCACAATGGGACCGGCGGGGTGCAGCACATGATTTCCATATACGGCTTCCCGGAGTAATGTGCAGTCTATTGGACGGGACAATGACTCCTTTGATTGGTTTATGATGAAACGCTTCGGAGGTCGGAATTCTCCTCGGCACGTTCTATCACATCAGGCTGCAGGGTAACAACGTGTCTCCTGATCATTTCTTCGGTCAATCATAAACTTTGCTGGTTTAAAGGATAACTGCGCCGTTAAAGCAGAACAACCCTCCGAATACATTCCAGTGCACTGAGCGAGGCTGAAATTGTAACCTTTCCCTTTAAGAGCTGCGATCACAGACATTGACCAGGGCAGACATTGTTTTAATTATAGGTGACCAGGCGTCACACTCGAGCCTTGCCTCAGGGGCGCTCACCCGCGGCCTGCAATCACTAGGACACGGCATCAGTCTGCATCGGTCTGAGATGGCATCGGTCTGAGATGCGCGACTGGCCTGGCACACCCGGCATCTATAGTCTTTTGGCATTTTCAGTATTTATCAATCTGCAGCTATATATAAAATAATCTCTGGTGATCCTGCCATTAAGTTCCTTGTTCGGGCACTTCCTGTTATAGGGTGACAACTCTCTGTTCTTGCCTCCCAATTGTGCTCCTGCGTTGTCTCCTTGTCCAATGGAGATCAGAAGCGACCGTTTCAACTCACATTACACTATGGTTAGGGTTGCCACCTGTCCAGGATTCCCCCCGGGATGCTGTGTCCGGGTTTCATGGCAGCAGAAACCCAGACACAAGATGTCAGGCAGACAGGGGCAACCAAAATTAAGATAGGGGCTACTGCCCCCCCCCGCTCCCCCCACTGAAAATAGTATCAACTGTGATATTTACATATGAATAAGACCGAAAAAATTTCATTCTCCCGAAAAAATGTCAGCGCGTCGCTAAAGTGTTCGGGTTTCGCTTGAAAAAAAGGCGGCAACCCTGACTAAGGTTGACATGACGAAGGCCCAGTGTGCCGGCTGAAACGCATCATAGGTTTCTGCTTGCTGTTTGTTTTTTTTATTCCGCCATTGTGTAATAAAGTCTACGAGATGTCATCGGATCCCTTTCCTGTGCCGGAGTTTTGCTACAGTTTCAGCTCTCATTACACTTGGCGTACCAGATAAAGGGCAACCTTGGCACGCCGGCTGCGGTGAAACTACAAATTGTATCACGCCTCTGGGAGTCACGCCTGTGACTGTCAGTCTTGCAGTGCCTCATGGGACTTGTAGTTCCATAACAGCTGGCGTGCCGAGGTCGCCCACCCCTGTGGTCCACTGTTGTCGCCATCAGAAAATCCGCCCTGAGAAATGTCATGCAGTCATCGCTGGAGTGCAGGTAGACGGCAAGTGGCTGCAAAAAATGTTGCAGGAGATCCGCAGCACTGGGAGTGCACAAAAGGTAGAAAATGGTGAAAACGAGGGTTTTATTTAGGAAGAATGGCGCTCGGGAAAACTAAAAGTCATTCAGTTTCGTCTTATGATAGGGAACCGTATAGAATAGTTTGCCATGTGATGCTACCGGGGCCAGATTTCCCACAAGGCCAACCGAGGCCCGGCCTTGGGGCAGCAGGGAGTAGAGGGGCAGCAGGGAGTAGAGGGGCAGCAGGGGTGTGGAATTCCTATCTCCTGACATGCAGTTCCGGGCGCTGGGCGGGTAGTTGTTTTCTACATTTAGCCCTGTATTTGGCAAGCAGAGCTAAATGTACAGCAGGGAAGCCGCCGCTTGTTTTGTACAAGTGATCCCGGCGATGTTGTGGAGATCACTTGTATGCAGTCTGCAGGTCTGCCATTCTCTGGGGGGGGGGCATTGAGGAACCTGGCCTTGGGGCAGCAGAGAGAGTAAATCCGACATGTGATGCTACTTGTGATCAGTGACAATTCTTCTACTGCACTGGGCCATGTACTATATCTCTATAGAGAGTTATTTCCTGTTTGTGGTCACTCTTCTCGGGTGACCCCGGAGTTCTCGGGCGGAAGGGGGATGAAGTTGCTGGAAGTTCCTTATAGCTCGGAGAAGTCTCCATTGTACCTGCAGGGTGCTGGTTCAGACCTGTCATCTTCTAGATTACATGGTAGAAGAGTCAGCCAGCCAGCCCTGTGCAAACACACATGGAGCAACACCAGCACGTTATGTAAACTGTGCAGTTAAAGGGGCAGTCACTTGAGTAATGCAAATACATCACATGGAGAACAAAAAAGTCTCAATTGTAGTTGAAGGGTGCCGGTTCAGACCTGTCATCCTGTAGATTACATTGTATGATAGTCAGCCAGCCAGCCCTTTGCAAACACACATGGAGCAACACCAGTACGGAATTTGAGCTGTGCGCTTAAAGGGGCAGTCATCTCAGTAATAGAAATACGTCACACGTGAAAAAAAAAAGTCTCAATTTGTAGCCTGAAGGGTGCCGGTTCAGACCTGTCATCCTGTAGATTACGTTGTATGATAGTCAGCCAGCCCTGTGCAAACACACATGGAGCAACACCAGCACGGAATGTGAGCTGTGCGGTTAAAGGGGCAGTCACCTGAGTAATGCAAATACATCACATGGAGAAAGAAAAAGTCTCAATTGTACCTGAAGGTTGCCGGTTCAGACCGGTCATCCTGTAGATTACATTGTATGATAATGAGCCAGCCCTGTGCAAACACACATGGAGCAATACGAGCACAGAATGTGAGCTGTGCGGTTAAAGGTGCAGTCACCTGAGTAAATAGAATAATACTGAGTAATAGAAATACATCACATGTGGAAAAAAAAAGACCCAATTGTACCTGCAGGGTGCAGCTGGCTGGGGTGCCGGTTCAGACCTGTCATCCTGTAGATTGGTTCTCAACTGGTGGGTCGTGGCCTAAAAGTGGGTCGCGACTCGGTGTTCATTAGGTCGCTGCATGCCTTTCCCCCCCCCCCCCCCTCATAGCGCAGCAATGTCCATTCTTACACCAAGCACCCATTCAAAACATGCTGCCCAGCGCCAAGTGTTGACTTGAGGTGGAGTGGGCTGGGGGTACGGCCGCGAAGGAGCTCCCTTCATACGTTCATTACTTACAGCTCCCTCACAGAGGTGCCTGGATGTGGAATGACATCACATTCTGGCTCCCGCCACCTCTACGGGTGCACACGTGAGCTGCACAGGCAATGCACATATGGATGAAACTCCATCACAGCACAGCAGCCCACACTGCCATATGTTCCATTGCAGTGCGACTTGGGTCGCGACTTAATGACCGAGGACAAATGTGTGGGTCCTGAGGTTACACAGGTTGAGAACCACCGCTGTAGATTACATTGTGTGATAATCAGTCAGTCAGCCAGCCCTGTGCAAACACACATGGCGCAATACCAGCACAGAATGTGAGCTGTGCGATTTAAAGGGGCAGTCACCTGAGTAATAGAAATACATCACATGTAAAAAAAAAAGTCTCAATTGTACCTGCAGGGTGCCGGTTCAGACCTGTCATCCTGTAGATTACATTGTAGGATAGTCAGCCAGTCCTCCCTCAGGCAGGAAAATTTTTACTCCTTAAATTCTGACTTTTATTTGTTTCTGGGACTTAGGAAGAAAAGCTTCAAAATCATCCGATCTCAGTCCCTCCAGCTCCAGATGCCACCGGTGGACTGGAAGTCTCCCTCTACCATCACACCCATCCCATCGCCAGTATCTCCCGTCCAACCGGCTCTGCCCGTCCAGCGAGGCCAGGAGCAAGCTGTCGAGATTCCCTACGAGGGTCTGGAATTCCAGCGAGTGACCATTAGTGGCGATTATTGTGCCGGGGTAAGGACGTCCCTCTGTATTCATCTTCTTATGAAGGCTTGAGAACCTCAACAAGCGTGCGTAGTTCCCAACTGTCACTCATGTGAACGGACTGTCACTCTTTAAGACCAAATCCTTCTGTCACTCTTTCCGGACCGAAAATAAAACCAGAAATCTAACTCTTCCCGACAGGATACCGTGCACAGGTGTCCCCACACCGCATGCAGGTATCTATACGGGAGGACCAAATACGTGACCACACCAGATAATGCTTATGAGTTTAATAGACATACCAGTGGCGTAACAATCGCCATAGCTACCCAGGCGGCCGCTATGGGGCCCGGGGCACAGGGGGGCCCGGCCAGATGCCGAGCGGTCCGCCTGGGTCGCGATGGCATCCTCTGCTGGTGGCTTTCACTGGCGGCTCTGAAGAAGAATGCGCTGCTGTTCAGATCACTGACCGTAATCTGGGCAGCAGCGCGTTCGTCTCCAGAGCCGCTGCTGAGTCAATGAGAGTCACCAGCGGCGGTGGAGGAGGCCGGACCCGGCAGGGGAGGAGGAGGAGGGGCCCGGTGCAAACACACATGGCGCAATACCAGCACAGAATGTGAGCTGTGCGATTTAAAGGGGCAGTCACCTGAGTAATAGAAATACATCACATGTAAAAAAAAAAGTCTCAATTGTACCTGCAGGGTGCCGGTTCAGACCTGTCATCCTGTAGATTACATTGTAGGATAGTCAGCCAGTCCTCCCTCAGGCAGGAAAAGGAATGCGACCAGCCCACCTGAGGGTGACCCTGCAGAGCCCACCATAGAGCACCGGAATTGCAGGACCAGGTTCCAGCGCCACCTGGAGGTGCTCTGGTCCCTGACATTTCCCAACACGACAGATTAAAGAGATGAACTTTAAAATTCTGACAGGTCCAGGTAGAACTATAAAGTTCTCACATGCTGGTACCTGGTCCTAAGTCTCATAGACAGCTCCATACCCACTACCCACCTACCTGCTTCCAGGCATGCATGGAAGCCAGTACACCTCTTCATATATGATGAACATGACCAACTCAGGAGACATTCAGGGTCAAATGTTACCACATATTATGCTATATGGTCACCATGTATGTAAAAACCTCCAAGGAAGTCTTATTAAACCACAGACTGGAAAATATTGACAAATCTACATTTAGGTTTCTAAAACATCTGTTGCCTGCTGCTAAGCAAACCATAGCCGAACCTGGGAAAGCCCCGAATCTTAGTGATGTATTTTTTTACACCTCCGCAGAGCTGTTCACTCTGCAAACATCTGTGTTGTAGATGCAGACCATATCACATGGCCACTAGATGGAGCAAAGGAGCACAGGAACTTCCTATGCTCCCTTGTAGGTTTGTAATGCAATATGGCCCCTAGATGGAGCGGAGGAACATCTGAATTTTCTATGCAATATGGCAACTAGATGGAGCTGAGGAGCATAGGAATTCCTATACTCCCTGGCGCCATCTAGTGGCCACATTGCTGCACGAGTCTACAACACAGAAGTTTGCACAGCACATAGCTCTGCGAACGCTTTCTAAACACACCCTATGCTTCACTTCACTTTCTATCACAATTACTTTTTTACAATGGAATGGTGATATAAAAGGTTTTAAACAATGGACCTGTGACCAGGGCTGGATTTCATCTCTTTGCTGCCCCAAGGCCAGGTTTCTCTATGCGTCCCCCTCCCCACTAACCCCCCCTTCATTTTTTATAAACATTTTTATTTATTGTTTTTTTAACTTTTTATATATCTTATTTACTTTTTTATTTTTTTATAATGTTTTTATCTTATTATTTTGTACTTTTTTATTTT